ATGGATGGATTTATATAGCACTTTTCTAACTCAAAACACATACACTGTCAATTATTCATCCACACCAGTGTTGGTAAGTACGATTGTCGCCACGCCTCTGTCAGGGCAGCTGTGCCATTCTGCACCTACAGCCCCTCCAACCACCACCTCAAACAATCCATTCATCATATGAAGTGTCTTGCCCAAGGACACAATGACCATGACACAGGTTACGGGGTGGAATCAAACCTTCCGATCAGTGACCGACTCGCTCTACCACCTGATAATAAAGGAATAAACAGGCTTGACTGCTTCTCTCCTGGTTTGTTATTTCAATCAAGGAAGAGTTTAGAAATGATCTAAAACCTTATGCTGAAAGAGATGCCCAAAATGCATTTACAGTGAAGAGGCTCAACTCTTAAAACTCAGTCACACGAGGTGCATGTGAGTCAGCCGGTCTGTTTGGAATCCACTGAAAAACAGATTCCACATCAATATTACAGGTCTGACAACAATCAGCGCTTACAAAACTAATCACACGCAGAAACAATAAGACGATATATCAATACTCTGATCAGTCAAACACTATTGTTTCTGTTCGACTCGCCAATTAACATCTGACCTCCACTGTGACACCCTTATGGATATTAACACACCTCTGCCAACACACAGTTCAACTTTCAACATATTCCTATCATGGCTTCAGACAGGTTTAAAAGTGATGTGGGCGCCCCATACCTACCTGGTTGAGCGGGCGACCCATGAACAGGGGCTACAGTCGTGGGTTCGACTCCTGCTCACGACCCTTTGCTGCAGGTCTCTCCCCATTCTTCTCCCCCCTTTCCTGTCTCTCTCTACTGCTCTAAATAAAGGCAGAAAAAGTGATGTAACTCGCCCAAATACTGTAAAAAACAAGGAATATCTGACAACAGGATGAATCAAAAATGATCTGTTCACTCAGCCTTTTTTATAATTTGTCCCTTTTTTAAATAATTTATCACCTTAAAAAACAAATCTGACTGACTGACAATTGACTGACTGAATGATTATTATTATTGTTGTATAAAATATATGTTATATTGATTTTTTTAAAAAGTGAGCTTTTACAAGATTGAATTTCCCTTCTGGGATAAATAAAGTATTTTTCATTTCATTTCAAATACCTTCAGTGGATTCAAATCGAGATTCACGTCTAAACTTGTTGCTCTAGAATCCACGTCTCTGCCACGTATGATATAAATAACATACCTTCAGACACTAATCAGTTGTCACTTACAGAACTTTTACACCAGATTTGCTATATATATTTTTTAATAATGAATCCTCCTCATCAAATCCAGCCGGTGTTAATGCCTCGCTTTAAGAGTCTCAGTCTGCACGTTGTTTACCATCTCCTGCCTACAGTAATGACAGCAGCCGGCAGCAGTGTAATTTATCAGCGGGGATCTTTTCAATACCAGAGCAATTTGCTGAGATCAATATGTTTTTTTTTTTCTTCTTAGTGCTTCAAGGATTTAATGTGACAGAAGATCCCATTCTTCACAGACGCTCGCCTCTCTGTTAAGACATCAAATCAGGAGTGCGTTTGTATCAGTCCCTCTGAAGTTTTCAAAAATGAGAAATTGTCAGCATGTGTTTTTCTCTTTGTTTTTTGATTACTTCATAAAAGCAAAACATTCTCAAGTCTTTGATCACAGACTGGAGGAGAAGGGGAAGTGGGTAAAATGACGTGATGGGAGAATGACGCGCAGAATGAACGAAACCGCCTCAATATCTGAGCAGAAAAACCCAAATCTGCTGCTGCCGTCTGTCTTTAAACACACAGGCCAGTGTGTAATTAGCTGATTCTGGAATGAATTTTCAGAACCAGTGACTTTTTTTCCTTTAACATCTGAAAATGTCTGCTGAGGTAATTGCACTTGATTCCAACAAAGAACCAAAGTGAAACCAGAACATCCAGATTCTGCTCCAGAAGAAAAGAAAACCTCATTTTAAACCCAAGAATCCAGCTGTGGAAGTGAAGCTCATCAGTGTGTCATGTGGCTCACTTCACATTGATGCGCTCTAATAAGGATGCTAGTGTTTTAAAAAATGGGAAAATATAGTTTATGTTCGGGTGGAAAGACTAAATGCTGTTTTCAAAAGGACATCTTGACAGTAACACACCTTTGCTGTAATCAAGTTTGCAATTTAACATCAACAGTTTTGTCTTTGGCATCTCCTGTCAGCCTCCGTCACTGCACTATGATGAGCATTACTATTTCAGAAATAATTTCCTATCTTATCATGTAACACTATCAAATGGGTGATATAGGAAGCGGTTAAATACTCACATTAGCTGCTGTCTTTCTTTAAAGTTATGTTTTTTGCCTTTATTATACAGATAAGTCAAGAGGGAGACAGGAAAATGGGGGAAGGACCTGCAGCACAAGAGCACATGAGTGGGATTTGAACCCATGGCCTTTGTATTGGGG